GTTTCTTCGCTGGGATTGACACGCAAAGAAACGCAACTCAGACGCGTTTTTATCAAAAAAATATTTACATGGGTGGTGCAAATCATTCAAGAGTGGAAAAAAAATAAAACGAATAAAACGAGGAATATAGTTTTTTCATGAAGTTTCGTAAATATTTCTTTATAAAATAAAAAATGTAAAGACTCTTTGTCAAATGCTCATGTAAAAATTTTCATTTCCTAAAAATGAATTTTCTCTTCAACTCGAAACCCTTATGTTCTACAAAAAACATCGATGCAATTTGCACGGGTTCTTAATAATCATTATATATTCTTTGGATTTTGTCTTAAAGATATATAAGTCATAATTTTGGTCTTATGATTCTCTTTATTGAAATATCATTAAGATTGTATTCCATCTCATAATTCTCTTTGTCGAGATGAAGCTGCATCAATTATGGTAGCTGTTCATGCCCATCCCATTCGCATCCACACCTTTCTTATCTTCTCAACATTCGATTTACTCGAGTAAGAATCCATTTGGAGAGAAAATGAGAAGAAAAATTAATAAGCCTTATGTATGCTTGATTAGAAAACAAAAAAAAAAGCGAATAGGAACTTATTTTCAATACTGTTTTACACATGTCATTTTGACTTCCATTCTTTGCCAAGACATCGGCAGCAATTAAAATGTTTCCGCATAGCGGAATCGGTCGAGCACGTCCAGTTCACGCATCAATTGTTGATCGTCGAGTATTTCCATTTCAATGACGAAATGTGCACGAAATTTTAATAAATCATCTCGCATGACGTTTGAAATTTTCAATTTCATTGGTGGTAATGCATGTTCTGTCGACCTAGTAAAACTATTCGTATAGAAATTCTGCGTATGTAACCTCACATCGTGAATAATTGCTTGCACCAGCTCTGTGTATTGAACGAGTAAAATTCCCTTGCGTATGCTCATGTTACTCGTTTGGTGCTCGTCTATGGGAATGGTTTCGGTCGGCAAACTGATGTTTTGCTCATCACTAGCACGTTCATATTTAATGGTCACTTTGAGACTATTGTCGAAAGTATTGTCAACAGGCGAAAGTTTCTCGCGTAATTTTACGAGAATCAAACTACCTTTGATACGCGACTGATCATCGAGTGCCGAAGCCGAATAAGAGCAAATAGTGACCACATCCTTCGACGATGAGTGCGAAGTATCGACGACCGGTATACCGAACACCTTCTCAATTTCGAATTTATTAGATTCGATAAAAATACGCACATTGAATGCCAAAGGCGTGACAACATAATTGAAGTCGGTGATGAGAATCTTTTGAAAATCCTGTCGTGAATGCACGCTGAAATAATTCGAGGCACGTTCTTTCGTCAATTCATAGATGAGATCACTGTTGAAATTCAAACCGACACCAATATAGGTAACGAAGATTGACGAACGTTCAGCTGCTCGTTTGGTCAAATCGAGTAGACATCGTTCATTACCACCTACATTGGGTATAGCATCGGTAAGAAAAAGGATTCGATTACTATTCGATCGACTTGTCGGATCTTCTGCTAACAGATCCGTTAACATAGAAATAGCCATCTTCATTCCCGCTTCCATATTAGTTGAACCACTGGCTTGAACCTGTTTGATTCGTTCGTGTAATTGAGTTCGTTCGATTGATTTCATCGAACGAATTGGTTGGAGAAGTATAGCATCTTGATTGAAGAGCACAATACCCAATCGCTCATGTTCACTATCCAAATTGTCAATTAATTCCTCGAGAATCTGTTTGGCAACATCGATTTTTTGCTCGCTTGTTGTCAACGTTCGATTCTCAGACGATGCATGAATACAATGAAAATGTTCACTCATCGAACCCGACACATCGAGTACTACAATTAAATTCAAAGGTTGCCGTTGATTCTTACCATCATAACAACTGTGCAAGGCAATGGAAAGATAAGTTTCCTGTTTGTTTGTCAAAATATTTGATAATTGTGTAGCGACAAATTTTGCCTGAATCAATTGATCCGTCGCCAAGCTCCTATCGAAGTAATATTCATTCAGAAGACCTTCAGTGTTAATGGTTGTCTCATTTGGTAATTGATTTTCCAGCATCAGCTGTCGAAATTGATTCGAATTCTGTGATCCGTGTGATGAACCCATACTGGAAAAAATATTAATCTTAAAAAATAGCAATAAACGTTAGATAATGTTTGGTTGCCATCGGTATTTGAAATAGGTCGTTCTTGTTAAATATATATATACAAAATACCTCGTAAATAAATGAAACTTAATATTTTTATAAGAAAATGATCCTATTTAGTATTGAATTGATGAGCAATTAAAAAGGTCATTATAATTGATTGAGGTAAGTGTGAGTGTGGATGATTGCGAGTGTGTCGATCTTCTCTTCGGTTACCCTGATATTGTCAAGTAAGGAACAAAAGTGGAATCATTTTCACCATTTGCGACATGGATATTACTCTGGCAGAAGCATGAAATCTTCTTCAGTGTAGCATAACTTTTTCTGTACTGGTAAAGATCTTCTTCTCACAGGTTCCAAATAACCTCCCTCGGTCGTTCTCCAAAATCTCCCAATAGAAAAGAGAAATTGTTTTAAAAAGGATAGATGGAGTAATACTAACTTCCTTTGCTTATTTATAAATCACTTGTTATTGTGCGTTTTTCATATATGTTTCTAATGGCTTGTTGCATCGACCCGAATAAGAGAAACGTACAGCATTCACAATCTACAGTTTATATACGAGGTTGAATGAATTTTTTTTCGTGTTGATTGTGAAAGAATGGCAAATAAAGTCATTACTCAAAACTGATAAGAAGTACTCTTTTTCTTTCCTACCGACAATGGTATTATTCATCTTGAAAGCGCTTCTTCGCTTTTTCTAAATGATAACAGTAAAAATCCAAACGTGTACGTAAGAGGCGGTGAATCATTATCTTACCTTGAATACTATGAAACTTGAAAAGAGAAAGCATAACTAAAACATCTGTTGCGGGTGTTGGTGTTGGTCCTCTCCAAGACACCCAAAGCCACCTACATCCTAAAGGCTAGTATAAATTCGTATCAACTTCATACCGACTTATGCCGGCGTTTGCCAAATCCCGATGAAACGATTGTCGAATGAGATCAGTTATTTTCATCGTTGCATTCCTATTCTATACTATTAAAATATTATATCAGAAGTTTCTAAATTGACTGCTATATTAATCACTCATGAATGAGATTGATTATATTACTTCTAAGAGCCACTGCAATTCCATGTCTGCTCATTTTTTTTTGTTAGTAGTTACTATTGACTTGTAACTTTGATTTTATTAGTAGTCTCGTAATGTTGAAAATGAAGTGTACTTATGCATTGAGTGATACTGGAGTGTGCGAATTTGTTTTATATATTTGCAATTGATTTTATTTCGTATGTATAGTTGACAAAATAACATGGTTTTTTTTCCAAGTAAACATATCTGCATGAATCAATGAAGCATGACATTCACATCAAATAGACAATATTCCCTTCGATAGCATGCTCACCATCAAATCTATTTCGTTCTTTCAATTCTGTTCTTTTTTTTCTTGTTCTATGCGTTTCGTGTCGTTAGAATAAGAAAATATGCGTCAATATATTTACATACACGAGCGCATTGTAATCAAACGTCAAAATTTATTTCTGATGAGTAAACGAAATAATATTCCTTCTGGTTTCATATTGATCCTTAATGTTCATAACACTGAAAAAAATTTATTGAAACAATTATTTTCAATATTTATTAAAAAAATTTATGAATTTGATTATTTCGAAAAAGTCACAATCATTCGGTTACTTTGATTAGGTTCGCAAAATTTTTATTTCATAAGTCTAATTATCTTGAAAAATCAAAATTAATACATAACTATGAATATTTCTACACTGTCTTTAGTCCGAGCATTTCACTTTTAATCAATGAAAATGTCAAAAAAGTGGATGAAGAAATTTTGAAATTGTTTAAGATGAGAATTTCAATTTGAGCAATATCTCTTTTCGTTACTTGAATAATTCGAATGAATAAAGATAGAAAATTTGAGAATAAAAGGAGTCAACTTGTCAATGTTGTTCTTTTGAAATACAGCGAATAAATGACTTTTGTTTTTAGAAAAAGTAAAGAAAGAACGATAAGTCAAGAGTTTGAATTTATCATTAATGAATTATTTGGTTAATTCGAGTATTAAAGATTAAGGTAAAGAATTTTTGGAAAAAAAATCTTTTTAATAGACTAACTTGATCGATTTCAATCATTTGAATTTTACTTAAATAAGGATGTGGGTGTTTTCATTGGCATCATGTACACCCACACCCACACCCTCTTGTATAACACGATCTTTTACACGACTTTTTAATTTACGTACTTGAGGATGCTCTGGAGATGATAAATGTATATGTTCATCACCACTCTTTCTCATAAATTGATTATGTGCATCAATATGTACGCCAGCCGTACAATACTTCACTTCACATTTCCAATATTTTACTTTTTTTGTTGATTTATTCAGCTGGTATACATAGGAGTCAAGGACCAACAGAGGTTTTCCTTTGTTACTTGTGATGGTCATCGCGCTCATATACAATCACTTGTTATGTAATTATGATAAATGTATTTATGTGCACATGCATGTGTTTATATATGTGCGAAAAAGATCGCCCAGATAGAGGGTGTGGATGTGAGTGTGGGTATGGTCTTCTCTTTAACAGAACCCACACCCACACTCAAGTATATCACGCGAATCCTTCACTAAATAGTTTCGAGTGCAGGTTTCGTAATCGACAATATTCCATCAATAAATCATAATTATATGCAACTTTTTTTCAGGCAGAGAAAAATATTGTCGTCTGTTCAGTATGCTTCATTAATTTCAATAGAATCGATATATAATATTTTTCTAACTGATTCTAAAATGAGCAGCATATTACATCGATAATGAGCAGTTTTTTAATTCTATTTTATCTTTCGCTCGGAATAAAACAGTATCATGACGCGTCAAAATTAATAATGACATTTTTGATCGCTTCGAGGAGACGAAGAGTACGTTGATCAATAGCAAATGCTGTGGTATCAAGTTGATTGCATACATGTGCATAGGCCAATTTATGTGGAGGATACCCAAAGGCACAGCTGCCACCCCTACCTAAATACAAAAATTCCTCATCTACATGATATTTTTTTTAATTATTTCGGACATTTTCAAAATGAAAAACAGCAAAATTTCTAAGTCTGAAATAAGGAACTCAGATATCTCATAGAGATACAGAAAGAAGTTGTTCATTTTTGAACAAGAGAAAATTAAGCAGTGTTTGTAAACAGCTTACCTGTATGACCGAAGATACCTTCACCCAATGCATTGAAAAACTCTCCATATATTTGAAAACCACCCTTGGCAAAAGTTGTTTTTAATCCATACGAGTTTTGATCGGGCTCACCTATAGGTGTCACATTGGTGGTTGCTCGTGCCAATGTTTCCTCATCCACAAGGCGCTTTTTTGTTATTCCATTCTCGCCAATATCTCCGATGAGCAGTGCATAAATGCGGGCCAACGAGCGAGCATTGGTAATACCATTGGTAGCTGGCATTTCAGCTCGATGTAATCGAGCCGAGTTAAAAAGGATTTTACCGTCGGGTTGATTGAGAGGAAAAGCACCGCTGAATGTTAAGGCTTTTTCAACTAATGGAGGCATCGGCTGTGCAGCGACAATATTAGTATTGACCTTAAGCAAGAAACTAATATCGAACACAATATCTGTGTTTTGTATTGAGAGCCACACGTCTAAGTGTTTTCACCCTTCAAAGTTGTCGATTCAGAACTTCAGTATAAATTTTTTTCTCGTCATTCACATTCGATTTTCTGATCACATTGCACTTGAAACAGGGTATAAATGAGAAAAGATTATTCTACTGAAGTTCTGAATAAGTGACACATTACTCATAGTTTAGTAATTGTCTTTAGCATATAAAAACGAGTTTTATATAGTAATCACCATAAGTGAAGAAAGATAAACTTTTTTCTCTATCGAACTACTATACATCTGCTTCTTTGTTTACCGGTTTTTTGATGAGAGGAGCGACGCGTGCTTCGATCTTGTCATCAGATACACCCACATAGAAACCGTCATCTAGTTCGCCACGGACAAATTGACCATATGAACGCTTCTTCGGATCGACTCGATGCACCAATTCGCCAGCCAAAAATCCAAGCGTATGCGCATGATATCCATGAGCTGATCCAGGCACCCAGTGTGGTTTTTCGGCAGCCAACAAAGAAGTGATATTAGACCAATTGTATACATCATCTGCTGTCAGTTGGTGGTCGACATATGGTAAGCCAGCTCGATGAGAAAGCACTTCAGCTACAGTGATGTCCTTAAGAAAATACATACATCATTAAGTAGCGGATAACTGCACTTACGTACCTCTTTTCCGTTATCAGCGAACTCTGGCCAGTACTTCGCCACCGGTGCATCATAATCGAGCCATCCTCTATCGACACACAAAGCCACAGCTGCAGCTATCACTCCTTTTGATGTTGAGTAAACGACCTGTAGTGTTTCTGGTGTATAAGATTTTGTCTTCTCTTTATCTTTCCAGCCACCACTCAAGTCTATGACACATTGGCCTCGATGATAAACACACAAACTGGCACCAAGATCCAGTCCATCGACTAAATTTTGTTCGAAAATCGCACGCACACTCTCCCAAGCAGGCGCTACTATACCATGCACGTTGTTATCATTGACTGTTGAAGACATTGTTTACCATATATGCCTCTTTATCACGTTTTGTTCTTGTTCTGTTCGTGTGTTACTATTTGATAAAAATCCACAGTCCAATATTTATTACAAAATCAATGAGAAGCTAGCACGACGCAAGAAAACATTTCATTCACCGTAAATTAATCAATCACAAAATTTGCAACCATAAAACACCAATGTAAAAGCTAGGAATTTAAAAACAACTTCCTTCACAATCCAACGATATCTGATATAAATCTAGGAAAAAATATTCAAAATTTAGAAAAAGAATCTGACAATATCATCCAGAAAACAACTAATGCATATTCGCCATAAAAACTTCTAAAACAATTTCCATTATTTTTTATCTTTTCGTTGTTGTGAAGCTACCACAACCCCCAATCAGATGCGCGACCAAAACGACTGTTAAAAATCAATCCACAGAATACCCAAACATATTCATGCAATTCCGAGACTTATTTCCTACTTACTAGTGCAAAAATGATTCTATCTTTCTTTTCACGATGTATTATAAAATCTCTTACCGGGTGTGGGTGTGGTTGTGAGTGTGGATACTTGTCTTTATACTCACACCCATCCGCACCCACACCCTCCAAAATTTGATACTGTGAACTGTCTTGAGGGTGAGTATAGGTACCATGATACAGAGTATTTTGAAAATTGCAGAATCTTATCAAGTGGCACCATGTATTGATTAAATGATCCATCTAGGAGTAGTGAAAAATCATTCGACTTAGTAAGCTCTTTTTCCAAGACCAACAAAGTCTTTGCAAAACTTCCATCAAAAATATCCGAAACTCGATGATAATTCTTTCAATTATATCTTTCTCGCTCATATATCTTTAAATTGCTGATTTAACAATATCGTTGAGGATGCTACACCTTTTTTTGTGTTTTATTATACAAGCAATGTTCGGTAATGACTTGTAACGTCCGTCAATCAAATATGTCTGTCTATCTGTCTACAAATATCTATGGAAAAGAAAAGATAAATAATACATATATGCATTTCCAAATGTAGTTATAATATTATCAGCTGTATCGAAAATAAGTGGTGGTCAAAGATCAAGCAGATCATCAAGCACATTGATTATATTTTAAATCAGAAAAACAAGGTAAAAACAAACATTCAGTAAGCATATCTACGTTGTGGCTGAGGATGAGGGTGCAAAGCTTGAAACAGTAGGCATAGATGAGGGTGTGTGTGTAGATACAATGAAGAACAACAATCACACCCACACTCTCATCTGGAATCGAAAATAGATCGATGAATATCCTAGCAATAAATCTAAATGAAAGCAAAAAACTAGATAAAAATGCGAGAAGAGCACATTTTTGTCTCTCTTTTATTGCAGTAACTACTGATGCATGAATTACTCACTATTAATTTTAACGAAGAAATAAGCAAACAACGAAACACAAGCATGAGAAGCCATATTTTTCTCTCATCGTACACTGGTACAGCATATTTCAATTGTGAAGTTTTTTTTAAAAAAAAAGAAATATCTGCGTGACTAATTTTCATAACAGTGAAAATATAAATTTTTTTCTACAAGAACAAGAAATTCCTTTTCTCATTTCTTCTTTTTGTTATCTAATATGTTTCCTTCAAAATAACCAAGGATACCAGAAAATGCATCATGAAAAGCTCTACACTCTATAAAGTAAAGCCTATTTTAATTGTGCATATTTTTGTTTTCAAAAACAATAATAATATTCTGTGCGACCAATTTACACCTTTGCGAAAACTGATCGGACAGAATTTTGCTCATTTTGAAACAAAAAGTACACCCAGGTGCAAAAATCGTACGAGGATCATATAAGATCTTATACGATCTTACTGACAATTAGATTTTGTAAGATTCAGATTGTATGATCTTACGAAATCTTGCAAATTTCTTGTTCTAAGATTTAATATGATTCTTATTATAAGATGCTAGCGTCAATCTTATATGATTCTTGATATAAGATTCTTGCAAGATCTGAGGATGGGAGTCTTGTAAGATATTGTAGGATCTTGTCAGACCATAATTTTAAGATATTTCTCATGCAAACTAGTTTTTATAACGATAGGTTTATAGATGTAGATTACTACACGTGTTTAAGTGATGGAATGCTTCCTAATAGAAATATAATTTCTTTTTAAATTGCAAATACACGTTTTGTATACAGCGATGCTTATTATAAAAACAGCACACTACTAATCAATTTGATTTGACTTGATTAAATTTATTATTGTTTTGAATTTTATCTCGTTAAATTCATTTTATCGTTTATTCTTATTGAAAAAAACATTTTTTGTATTTGTTTGTAAAACTGTAATTAATAATAATTCTCTAGTGTAGAGGACATGTAAGCTGACAATGGCTAACATATACTATATATATGAGCGAGAAACCGTTACATTCGTCTTATATTCTGGTATGGTGGAAGAAATTGCACGTCATATATTTTTTCAAAAATACAACTAGGCTTTTTATATTAATTTATAATTCTTCAAAATTATCCAGTTTTGTTTTAGATATTTGAAATTCGTATCGATCTTATTTAGTCTTTGTGGTTTCATCGACTGAATTTCGATATTTCTGGTTTATTTTGACTCAAACTAATGATGAAAAATATTATTTTATTTTACATTCAATCAATGTGAAAGGAGTTAGTTTCATTTGATGTATATGCTTAACTTATTTCAGTTAAGATATAATTAATCTAAGAAGATTATCTACTTATAGTCAAAGTAAAATGAAAGCAATTTAATACAACTATACTTGTTTTACAACAAAATAGGTTCATTTTCATAAGATTATTTATTTAATAGTCTGGGAAAATAAAATAAATTCAAAGTGAAGAGATTAATCTTACTTAAAATAAAGTTAAACTAATGGAATTATTGCATTTATATTTTTTTAATGCAAAATTAATATTCAATTTGATAATATTATTTAGAATTTATATTATATGGAACTAAATTAACCTAATTTTATCATTTTATTTTATTTCGATTGAAATAAAATTAATATACTAGATTTTTTCTACAATTAAATTAAATTATTTTATCTGATCATTCCAACTAACACAAAATAAATATAATACAATTATTCATTTATGATTAAAATAAAATCAAGGAAACCTTATCCGATATAATTTGGTTAAATCCGTTTTCCAAACTACAACTCTGTAATTAATTAAGTCAATTTCAATATCGAACTCTACTCTATATACTGGTGGTCGATTATTCGAGGACGAGCTTAAAATTAACATCAAACCGAACTGTGATCTGTTTTCGATAAAACTACGCATTACTCATTGCATGTTTTCATGTGGAAATGATAAATATTTTTTTTATTTAAAAATAAATTTAGTCTGAGACGAAGTAAAATGATAAAAATTTCGCGATAAATGTTTTCTCTTGAAACAAAGAGTTTGAAGAAGGTAACTCAGCCTGTTGAAAAATTAGGTAGAGGTGATGAAAAGTGCAAGAATATCAATCATGCGATGCATCCTATAGTTGTATAGAAGCATGTATGAATAATGCAAGATCTTATCAGATCATACAATAAGATCATATAAGAATCGTACAGTACGATATGATCAGATGTGCAGGCTTTATGACTATCTTATAAAAATCATACAAGATCGTATATGACTTTCATACGATCTTATATGATCATATAAGATTTCACAGTAAGATCTTGTAAGGTATTGCAATATCGCACAAGATCTTATTGTCGGATTCTTCGACCTGGGCAACTATAAAATAAGCGATACTATGTAAATTATGTAGAGCTTTTCACATTACTTCTTATGGCATGTTTTGTTTTTTTTTTAAAATAAACTTACTAGATGATAAAAATAAATTATTATAAAAAACAACAAGTGAGAAAAATAAAGATATTCGTCATGACGAACGAAGAATGACACGGAATGATGACTTGTTGATATAGTTAATAATAAATACAAGCATTCATGAAAAAAAAAATCATTGTTTTTCTGATAGAGAAAGAAAGGAGAAAAAGCTTACATTACTCGTGTGCTGTCATCGGTTCCGTTGAAGTTAGGTACAGTTGTAACTGCAGAAATGATTTGTCATGTACATTCTCTTATGATATTCGAAGGACTATGTAGTAAAATAATCTCAAAAATAGAAAGATAATTACACGGTGTCTTTCATTATACTAATATAAACAGCTCATACAAAAAAAAATTAGTCGGTTACGTATATCATGCACTTTATACAGAAATATGTTACTTAGTTGAAGTTATGAAATTCGCAACTAATTCAAAGCACGAACTGTGATTACATTTTTTTTCATTATTTAAGTTGATAGAAGAATGAAAAAGTTGAATTTGCTCTACGATCGACCAATATATTGTATTTATAAATTCATCGAATTATTTAAGTAAAGATGATAATGTCAATACAAAATTTGTATTAAATACGCATCTTTTGTTTTCACTCATTCCATTTGTTATTTTCCATAGAGTCATTCGCAAGAAGTGAATGTGAATCAGTAATAGAATTTGATATTTCAAATATAAATATTCTTTTTCTCTATTCTGTTCATTGTACATAGATAAGAGAAGAATAAAATGTTATACCACGTGTTTGCCTTAAACATAAATTTCTTTCGATCAGTATCCATCGTTATGGAAAGAATAAAAAGACAAAAAACTGATATTATTGAAAATTATTATAATGAAAATAAAAAACAAAAATTACAAGATCAAAATAATAATAAAAATAAGTTAGTTAGTTTAAAATTTATTTTATTATCTAATAATTTTCATTTATTTAATTTAGATTACTTTTTGAAAATTTATCAAATGAAATTATCTACGAAATATTTGATTATCTTGGTATATATTATGCTTATCATAGATTTTTTAATCTTAATCAACGATTTAATAATTTCTTTATTAATTCAAATCTTCATATTCAAATTGATATTTCATCAATGTCAAAATTAAATTTTGAACAATATTATAAAGATATTATTCTACCAAATAAACATCGAATAAATTATCTTCGTTTATCAAATGTATTTACAGTTGATATTATTTTCTCACCACCACGTCTTATTTCAAAGTTTTTTCAACTTGAAACATTAGTTTTTGATAATATCAATACAAGATATCTTAATAATATTCTTCATCATTTAATTATCTTACCAGAATTACATTCATTAACAATTAATCTAACTGATTATATTCAAAATTCAACTCTTTTTTATCTTCAATTATTTCATTTACCAAAATTAAAATATTGTAAAATTCAATTTGAATCAAAAGATGAACAACAATTATTACCTCGATGTATTAATGAATTTAGTTCAATTGAATATTTTATAATTAAAAATTGTTTTCAATTTCAATTATTGAATAATTTCTTATCTTATCTACCACGAATTTGTCATTTATCTATTGATTATCTTAATGGAATTGATTTCAAGGATATTGAATTATATCCATTACCATTAAAATATTTAAAATATGTTTCACTTGAACTTGACTTAGTTTATTTTAATCGATTTGAACAATTAATCAAGAATTTCTTTTATCATATTGAAATTTTACGTTTTACATCAAAATATGATTCAAGATATTTAAATGCAGAAATATGGGAAAAATTAATTATATCTTATATGCCATATTTACGTGTTTTTGATGTTAATCATGATGGTTCTATTCAACATAATCTTTCAAGATATCATAATTGGATTGATCAATTTAATTCTTCATTTTGGACTAAAAAACAATGGTTTTTTACACATCAACATGATTGGCAAGATACTATTGGAAGTGGAATCTTTTATTCAACAAATCCATATCGGTAAAAACACATTAATTTGTTTCTAACGGATGAATCATAATCAATGAGCCTCTCAGTATTTTGCATATTTCTCACCTATAATTCAGCTTAGAAAAAAAAAATTTTTGTTTTTTTATAGAAAGATTTCTCGTCAGATTTTCTACACAACGTAGATATTTTTATTGTCTTAAATAGTTTCCATCATTTTTGTGAGATGCGATATAATCTATTTGTTCAAGAAACACAACTTTCAAATAAGCAGTTTTTAGTAAATACTTTCATGAGAAGTGAACCAAAAATACGCAAAGTATTCAGATGAGACTGTTTATACAGCTTTTCTGGCTGATTATTTTGATAAAAAAAACTTTTTGAACTTCATTGACAAATAATGATGTTATAGTCGAAATACTTAACAACCTTGAAATGCAGTTTTTTCTGATCAGTAAGCATAAAAAGTCGATTAGCATATCTCAAAATGACTACGTATTTTGTAGAGATATATGAGATAGCTAATTTTGTAGAGGAAAGTTTGCTCTACAAAATTAGATACACTCGAATACTATGAATAAATCTCGATAGAACATTATAAGGAATATTTATCCCAAAAAACCAAGGATACTATTGTTTTTTATATGAATATCATATACAATGTTCTATCAAGATTTATTCATAGTATTCAAATGTGTATTTAAGAATCCGACTATATTGTCTTGTAGAGCAAACTTTCCTCTACAAAACTAACTGAGTCATATTTTTCCATAGTACAATAATTTTAAGATACGTTAATCCTACTAAAAACGTCTTGTTTGAAAGTTGTACTTCTTGAACAAATCGATTACATCACATCTCACAAAAATTATGGAAACTATTTAAGACAATAAAAATATCTACGTTGTTTAGAGAATTTGACGAGGAATCTTTCTATTAAAAAAGTTTTTTTCTAAGCTGAATTATAAGTGAGAAATATGCAAAATACTGAGAGACTCATTCATTATGGTTCATCCATTATATTGTTTGTGTCTTTTATTTTGTAGAAGAAAAGATTATACATTTATTTGGGAATTAAATAAAAAATTTTGTTCAGATTATAAACAAACAAATTTTAGTTCAGTCAAACATGTTCGTGTTTCTAATTTAGTAGAATCTAATACTTCAACAAATTATTTTCCCAATGCTACTCAATTGACTATTAAACATGATTTAGAAACACTTCCTCATTCAATTTCAATAATTCTCAATCGTATTGTTCCTTTAGCAAAACTTACAAAATTAATCTTTATTTATTCTTATGATTTTCCTTTTGAACAATCGATTGAATTATTAGGTTTTACACCTAATTTGCATACTTTAAAATATGATGTAATAATTTTCAATGAAACAAATTCAAAATTAATTCAACAAAATAATATTTTTCAATATGTATCAAAAATAAATAAAATCAAAAATTTAGAAATTCATCAAAGTTCTACATTAGAAGAAATTAAAATGATTGTTAATTTATTTCCTCAATTAGAATATTTTAAAACTAAAATGATAAGAAAAGAAATTGAATTAATTATACGATTTTTATTATCAAAAAATAATCATCAAATATATCATTTATATTATTTATGTATTTTAGAAATACCAAAAATATATTTAAAAAAATTAAATATGTTAATTAAATTAGAAAATTTACTTGATGATTATTCAATTAAATTGATTAATCGTGATTTGTATTTATGGTGGTAGAAATTTTATTGTTTAGAATATGTTTTATCATTTAATTGTATCTAATTGTAACTACTTTCGAAATAAATAAGAGAATTAATTGATTTCGAAAATATTTAAACAATTATGTTTTTCATAATAACGATCTCAGATTATCTTGCTATTCATCATGTTCACGATTAAAAGTTAATACTTTAAGATTTAGGATATTTTTCTTAACAAATCAAATACATTACCACTTATTGTAATATCAATCTTAACAACTTTATATTAATTAAAAAGTGTTGAAGTATCCTGCACATTGCTGAATATTATAATAAATATCATCTTGAATAAAAAAAAAAACTTTGAATAGATTTATTTTAAAGAAAAAACCTATCACCAACTATTGTTATAAAAATTCTATGGTTTGAAGTCGAGGTGCATATGATCAAGTAATATTTGTCAATGTGATTGAGACTCGGATTCAAATAGATAAATATGGGTTTTAATTAACTGATAGTGGTATGAGTGTGTGGATGTGAGTGTCAATCTAAATCCTTAGCCACAACTACACCAAATCCATATTTACACTTTCAACGTCACTGGAAATGTTAAAAGGATGTCTCTAAAATGCTGAAGATTGAGTAACAAAATATTTGTCAGTTTTAGAGATCTAACTGTAGCAGATTATTTTACATATTACTCTAGATATTTTCAAATATCATTCATTAAACTGCCAGAAGCCTTCGAGAATCAAAACTATTCTTATGAAGTCGTACACTAGGCAACACGGAAAAAACTTAAACAGAAAAAACTAGTGATCATCACAATAATAGTCAAGTTGTGATTTTTACTAAATAATCTCTTGTCCTCAAAATTTGGTTTTGAATAAGAGTGAGATGCAAATGTCGGATTTCTTATTTTAGAATATAGAAAGAGAATAGTTATTCTCGTAGAACATCTTTTGAAACATATTTTCGACCGAAGAATTCACTACTCCTAGTAGTGCCTTCTCAAAGCTTTACTGTTGCGAAGCATATGATTCTTCATTTATTTTCTCAAAAATCGTCGCCTGAAGTCACAGATGACCATCACTTTTGACTAGCTTTCAGATCTCTATATCTCAATCATGATAAATGAAACCTTAAATTTATCTAAAAATTATAAAAAAAGCTTGCAGAACTTATTTTTCCAGCTAATAGTAAATTGCAATTGTGCAATTAAAATGGAACATTGAGTCATATTTGTTGTCATTGTCATACATTATTTTAATAGATAAAGTTAACTAATTGAAAACGATAGTAACATTTTGTTAAATTGCTAATTTAAAAGAATAAAATTTGATAATTTAGAAACAAAATCCAGAATTGAAACTTTTAATTAGATTTATTTAAATATTTAAATAAACATGCTAATAAGTTATTTATTGTGTCATTTTATTTCTTGATTAAATTATATTGAATTACTCGAATTTTTTTCAAAAAACATGGTCAAAAAAAAAAGTTATGACTTATTTTCGATGAAGTTGTTAAATCATTCATATATACGTATATATAGTTATTGTTTATATTATTTATTTAATTAATATTGATGATGACTAAAAGAAATCTATTACGAAGAATAATCTTCATTGGATTTCATTGCCTATTATTGTAAGTTTAATTGTTTTATTTATCTAACATTAGATAAACAAGTTCAGACTTTTCAATTCTAATTAAAGAACAGGAAAAATATTTTAAAATTAACTTTTCATGATACGCAATTAGATTAATAGTTAAACAATTCTTTAGAAAACATCATCTTAGAACTTTTTTTTTCTAAATATATTAATTTATGATTATATTCATGATTCTATTTAAAAAAACATTTAAGATATTATTATCATGTATTCGACAACTTACTATAGGAAATTTTTTGAAAAGTATCATTATATTTATTTTAAAGAGGAAAATAAACAAATGACTGATTCAATAAATAATGGAATAAAATGATAAAGATATTATCGCCTTAACAAACTAAGAATCGTTAAATTGTTAATGGCTAAACATTTCATTCAATAGTCAACACAAGCAGATTTAATTTTGTTAGTCTGGATTAAATTAAATCTAACATTTATTATTTTATTTTATTCGCCCTTAAAATAAATATCATCTAATTTAATCTTCTAATATAATAAGATTTTATAAAATGACTTGAAAAGAAAAATTCTTACACTTATTTGTACATATAGACAAAAAAAAATATTTGTTGATTTTCGAATCAATAGATCAAGAATTATTTTATTTTAATAAGATCAGTGTATAGGTGTGGGGTGTTTGGATGTGAGTCTGGTTGTTAATACTATTATTCTCTTGGGCCATATCCACACCCCAAAATGGCGAAGTATACAATGAGTGGGTGCTGCATTGGTTATCGTCATTTTTTAGCTGAAGGTGCCTCCATCGTGATTTCGAAATCTCAAGAAGAGAACGATTTTAGAAGCTGAAATTTTAGGCTTTTTCATATCTCACTTAAGGCTACATTTGAGCAAAGTTTCATTGAAATTCGTGAGATCAATTGACTACATGGTCCGTATTTTGGCAGTCTCTTTCGTGCAATGGTTCCTGAGAGTTCAAT